GTCTAGGTTGGATATTAGGAAACACTGCTTCACTAGGAGAGTGGTGAAGCACTGGAAAGGGTTACCTAGGGTGGTGGTGGAATCTCCATCCTTTAGAGGCCCAGCTTGATAAAGCCCTGGCTGGGATGATTTAGTTGGTGTTGGTCCTGCTTTGAGCAGGGGGTTGGACTAGGTGGCCTCCTGAGGTCTCTTCCAACCCTAATCTATGATTCACCCAGCACTCACATGCAAACAGGACCATCCCTAGGCATACACGGCTGCGGAGGGCACCCGGAAATTTGGGGCATGGCCTAGGCTGGCCACGGCTGGAATCCTCTCTTCTCTGGGGGTGCTGGGGGGCTTCTCCCTGACCCTGCCCCCTTCCTCCTCAGCTGGCTGGCTGAGGACTCCAGCCTCCAGCTCTGCTGACCCAGCCTCAGGGAGCCCAGAGTGGTGCAGCCCCAGCCCACCGCTGCCCGCGGTGGAGTTCCTCCCTGGACCCTGCCTGCCTGCACTGCTCGGTCAGGACAGGAGGAGCGAAACGTCCATGTGAGTGGGGGGAGGGGGGACTTAAAGTGACAGTGCGCTCACTGTCTCTCACACTTCCCTAACACACACACAGACTGGCTCTCACACCCACATACATTGTCTCTCACAGTCAGTCCCCCAATACAGATTGTCATAGAATCATAGAATATCAGGGTTGGAAGGGACCTCAGGAGGTCATCTAGTCCAATCCCCGGCTCAAAGCAGGACTAATCCCCAACTAAATCCCCAAATGGCCCCCTCAAAGATTGAGCTCACAAACTTGGGTTGAGCAGGCCAATGCTCAAACCACTGATCTCTCTCTCTGTCACACACACACTGTCACAGTCCCACCCCCCACTCACATACACAGTGTCTCTGTCTGTAAGGATTTTTTAGGGAGCCTATCTGACCAGAAGACTTTGGGGACCTTACAGTATCCCTCCCGTGGGGTCTCCCCTTAAACCCATCTATCGGAGTTAGAATAAAAGAAACCACCAAATTGATATGAACTCACAACATCACTTTATTTACTAAAGGAGAAGTAAGGAAGGGGAGGGAGATGGACTAGGGACACTGGAGATTTGGAATATAAGCATACACATGCGCGCGCACACACTCAATAAAGCAAAGATGTTTTTCTAGACAGGTAAGTAACCCTATTTCAGACCCACCCTATCCCTGTTTGCATCGTCTATGGGTGAGTGTCAGATCTAACTAACCAGATCTAGTCCAAGAGTGCACGTCTGCTTCCCAAAAGAAAATAACTAATTAACCCTAAGATGACAACTTCGTGCAGTAAGTGGTTATTGACCTGCAGTAACCAATGTGGAAGCTATACCACATCACAGAGAGAGAGAGCTTTTTGAAACCTGAGCCCCAAGGATTCCAGTGCTCAAGAGCTCCTGGCCCCCTCCCTTCGTTTGTTTATATAGAAACCGGTTACTTAGCAACAACTGATTCCCGCTCTTTCACTTTCCTGCCTTTTGTCCAGAATAGGGGAACAAGAAACTGTCACAACATGGAGGTCATCATGTTCTTATCCAGACCAAGATGGCCACGTAATCAACAATGCCCTAAAATCCAACTGGGTGTGTGCCTTCCCCAAGAATTTGGCAGGACATTAATTAGCATGTCTTTCTCACATGCCCTGGCTCTCTCTCATGCACACACACACGTATTATTATTGTTGTTATTACTGCTTGGTACTTCCTGTCAAAATGCTTGTGGTGAGCCAAGAGTAGCTAGGGGCTGAAGGAGGGCCGTGAGCTCTGGCAAGATGCAGCCTCCATGTGACGGCGCAAAGCCTGTCTTGAGTCACTGCTGCAGCGTCTGCTCTGTACAAAGCTCAGTGTGTGTCAGCAATGTCTTGTCCTGTATAGAGAGATCTGTACAAAGTACCCTCATAAAAATTGCCCCCTCCCTGAATGTGGAGGAAGATATGCCAGCTTCCCCCCCCCAAATTGCACAAACTGGGTTTTGGAATAAACAAACAAGTTTATTAACTATAAAAGGTAAATTTTAAGTGATTATAAGTAAGGCTGTGAATCTGTCACAGATTCTGTGACTTTCCGTGACTTGTGCTGGGGACCAGCCGCAGCAGTTTGGGTGTGTGGAGGGGGCTCAGGGGTAGGGGGTTGGAGGGGCACATGGGGGTGCTTACCTGACACAAAGGCCATGTCCCTGCCTAATTTCAAATCCCTGCTCAAAAGGTCAACAGCATTTTTGAACACAGGCAAAACATTATTCCATAGCCTCATTCTTGGAAACGGCTGCTTTGGCTAAAATTTTCAAAAAAACATTTAGTCTGAGGCAGACACGCAGTGTGGCAAATTCCAAGCCAAATGGATTAAGTTTGGGAAAGTCATAAATAACTGAAAACAGGGTCTGTCTTTGAATGAGAAGTGTCAGGCAACCTACATAATAGATGGTGTGAACAACCCCGCCTATAATAATTTAGGACAATTGGTATGTATGCACAAGTCAGTATAAACTAAAAAACCCAAACCACTACCCAAAAAACCCAAACCACAACCCTGCAAGGGATTGCACTATTGATGCTTAAAGGATCGATTTTAAAACATTGTATTTCCCTTTACTAACATCCTCATTGACACTATACAAGTGAAATCTGATTTGCATGTATAGTTATGAAAATTATACAGTGTGTTTGCATTGTTGTGTTCCCCAACATGAAGTCTCCCATGTTTAAAAAAGATGAACTCAAACTGGAACGGGTACAGAGAAGGGCCACTAGGATGATCAGAGGAATGGAAAACCTGTCGTATGAAAGGAGACTCGAGGAGCTCGGGTTGTTTAGCCTAACCAAAAGAAGGCTGAGGGGGGATATGATTGCTCTCTTTAAATATATCAGAGGAATAAATACCAGGGAGGGAGAGGAATTATTTCAGCTCAGTACTAATGTGGACACAAGAACGAATGGATATAAACTGGCCGTGGGGAAGTTTAGGCCTGAAATTAGACGAAGGTTTCTAACCATCAGAGGGTGAAATATTGGAACAGCCTTCCGAGGGAAACGGTGAGGGCGAAGGACCTGTCTGGCTTTAAGATTAAGCTAGATAAGTTTATGGAGGGAATGGTTTAATGGGATAACATGATTTTAGTCAAATGAACAGCGTGCCATCGCTGGTAAATAGTATCAATGGCCAATGAGGGTCTGGCTGGAGAATCTTGCCTACATGCTTGGGGTTCTACTGATCGCCATATTTGGGGTCGGAAAGGAATTTTCCTCCAGGATAGATTGGCAGAGGCTCTGGAGGTTTTTCGCCTTCCTCCGCAGCATGGGGCAGGGGTCGCTAGCTGGAGGATTCTCTGCTACTTGAAGTTTCTAAACCACAGGATTTGGGGACTTCAACAGCAGAGTCAAGGGAAAGGGGTTGAGACGGCTTTGTGGCCTGCAACATGCGGGAGGTCAGACTAGATGATCATAATGGTACCTTCTGACCTTAAAGTCTATGAGTCATCAATATGCTGAAGTCTTCTTGACCCCCTATGAGAACTCTTTTCTTCAGCTATGGGAGAACCATTGTGCTTTCAGAGATTTGAACTGTAGTACATTCATCAACATTTTGATTTATTATGCATTTGTTCTGTTTAGCAATTAATAGTGTAAGCTCCATGGAATAGGGATAGAGTCTCTTTCTGGTTTCTATGACACTCTCAGGACTTAAATACTACTACTATTTTGAATGTGCATTTTTCTTCTATTAGGCTTTAATATTACAAACACTATTTATAAAGGTCAGTTCTCTTTTTCATATCCCATTGCTGCTTCCCTTTCAACCCCCAAATAAATGCTAGTCTCCTTCCCAACTTCCCAGCTCCCTGCCTCTGTGACCCAGTCACTCAGAATTTCCCCACGAATACACTGGTTTACACCGAATCAAGCCCAGCCAAAAAACATACCAAAGATTCTGCCTGATTTCAGGCTTCAGAATTTGATCTGATCTTCTCAAAAAGTAGTATCCAGCCAGTACCCCCCTCCAAACACAGTCATTACAGGCATAATGGATAGTATTGGGTCTACAATGGGCCTGATTCTCCTCTGCTTTGCACTTTTAGTTGTTGACACGTACAAAATGCCACTGTTTTGACTTGGTACCATATTATACTTACCTTGCACTTTGAAAACTGATTTGGGGTAGTTTATAACTAATGTGCCCACAAAGTACCGTGACCTGACAAAGGAGACAGAAAGAAATAGGTAACTACTTGGGTAAAAGGCCTTACTCACAGAAGCTGCAGTCCCTATCCTTGAATAGGTGCCATAAAATATCTGGCAAGAGACGTGAGCATGGGGAGAACCAAATGTTGTTGCACGAGGCGTATATATTTTAAGTTTGAACATTGGCAGAATCACTTTGGGTTGCCACCTCTGAAGTACAAAAAAAACCTCAGGACATCCGGGATGATCCTGAGCCCATAATACTGGACAGCTGGCAGTGTATATGGAGAACCCTTACAAGATTCCCCAGGACAGCCACCTCAAAAATAAGATCAATCTTGGGAAAACCTGGACCAGTGGCAACCCTACACTACTAGCCTCTAGGGGCAAGTGCTGCAGCCACAGAGACATTGCTTAACTGGGACTGGCAGCACATTGGCTACAACAGTTGGAGCCAGTGAGTAGCAGTATAATCCTCACTCCGTCACCACCATGTAGAGAATGGATAAGATTTAGAGAACTTGCCACCCAGGTTTTAAGTGTATGAAATGGGTCCCACTCCTGCCATAAAACCCTTTGTTAAATTCAAAGTTAACAGAGCTAATAATAGTCATTAATCTTGGGACCAAGATGTGAGTTTGAGATATATGTACATCCATGTATGTATCTGTGTACGTTCCCTTTGTGCACGGATTTAAAGCTCTAGCTGGTAACCCTGAAACAATGTGACTTCAGACTTTTATTCCCAAAAATACTTTATTTATAACAATATATCCATTATCTATAACATAATCCAAAAATACTGCTATACATTTTTACATTTTTTAATAAAAAGATTTATAATATTCTCTTCCATTTACAAAGGGAACATATTTAATTCCTTTGAGAATAAAACGTATAACATTCAGGTTAAAGTTACATCATCTCCAATTTGGATGAATTGTGATAAAGCTGAACACCACAAAATATACAGGTGTCTGAAAAAGCTTTTCTTGATCATCTTTAGTGGAACGTTCCTTTTAAATCTCTCACAGTTCTGTCCATCCCTCTCCACAAAGGTAATGTATATTTAACACCGCACATTCAAAATACAGGACTTTAAAATTCTTTAATGACCAAGATCAAGGCTACTGATCTTCCTGTCTAAAGAGGAGCAAAAAACCCTAAACCCAGAAATGAATGGGCAAACAGATACTATTAAGTCTGTGATAACTATTAGAGCCTCTGTTTGTTAGGGTGTGTTCCATATGGGACAGCTTTATTGCTCAAACTCTGTTCCAACTCAGATGATCTGATACATTTGAGAGGTTGCGCGCCAAAGTACATCTGTCATCTTACCTAGTGTTTGTGGTCCCCATAGATGCCTTTCATTCTTAGGACTGATATAGTGCTAGCTCTAGGTCTTTAGCTTCCCTGGTTAAAATAGAAAGCATCCATTCTTCCAGGCTACAACCACCCAGACAAAAATCACTAAATAATTTGCTGCCCTAAGCAACTATATCTAAGTTTATGGTAATCAGCTTTGCACTGATAGATCTGTAACTTCTTGGTTATGCAGCAACACCTCCAAAGAGATGTGTTGGCTTTTGAGAATCAATTTAACCAAACAATTACAATTTATGGTAGTTATTTCACAAAGTATTGTTTAAAAATAAGTGTTGCCTACAATATTGTATCATTGGATGAATGGGGAAATGGAGCCTGAATCTTCATCAATATTACAATCTTCAAGACAGTGACACTCCTACTTGTAATCCAGTGTAACAGGATAATGAGGTATGGGTTTTTCACTGGCTACTTTACTACATGCTGATTTGCGAAAAGGTTTACTCTCCAGACAGAGGCAGAGCCACTTCTTACACTCTGCAATGAGACATAAAAAAGGGCTGACTACATTCCCAGATCCAGCTTTGTGCAATTGTGCTTTCTCCCCACTTCCCTCCAACAACCTGTTGCTAAGTTCTATGCACATATTTTTGGTGTGTTTATTTTAAAATGGCAAAAAAACATAGTCCTGTGAACATGAAAACTTCATATATACCATATGGAATGATGTGATAATAGGGATATGTACATCACATTTTAAACTACAGAACTCCGGAGACACTTTTTTCCACAGCTGATGTGACAATCAAATTACATTCACAGATAACTACACTGATACCAAGAGGGGTTTTCTATGACATTTTTGTTTAACTGCTATCTCCTATAAAGCCAAATGCAAATAGTGTGACTGCAAGAAAGGAGACTTAGCAGGAGTTGTGTTTTACATTCTTGCATCACAAAATGCACACAAAGGGCACCATTCAATGGTCCTCCTGTAACAAAGACTATCTTTTTTGTTTTTTCAACTACAATTGTGCTATATAAGCCTGTCTTTTGAATTAATTGTTCTGTTTTGTTGTAATGCTGTGGGCCTGATTCTGTTATACTGCAGCCCCTTTCTGACACTCCAATGGTCTATACAGTGGGCTACACCATTACAGCCACTTGTGGCCATAGGTAGTGGAATCCCAGAATATGGGAAGTACAAAAGTAACAAACCCATCTTTATCTCTCTTCTCAGTTCCTACAGCAAGCATAGCTCAGTATTGAGGGAGAGGTCAGGGAGGAGGGGAAGAGAATAAGGGACTTATATGGAATATTTTCTTTTCCTCCTCTTGGATTTCTGTCTTCCTTCCACTGTAGGGTATGAGACTCTAATGATAGCAAGATTCACACTTTATCTGTCAACCTGAAAGGCAACTCAAATCAAAAGCATGCAGATTTCTCACCAAACAAGCAAGATGTCCCTTTTAAAACATTCCTGCTGTGTGAACTTCTGTTTATGAGCAGTGGTTCATGATGGATGCTGATTAAAATCAGAAAAACTGCAATAGGGTTAAAGTCAATGACTTCATCTCAGGTTTGATGCACCATCACAAGAATCTATATCTTATTACAATATTATTCTCCCCCTAAAACTTGTTTTCCTGATTATTTACCAAAGTGCAACATAGAGATAAGTAATGTAAACAGGCCTTAATTTTATTTCATGAGTAAATCTGACCCCACTATCTTCATAACACCACACTAGGTTTTTGTCTTCACTGTAAAGAACTTAAAGCATTTCCCGAAAAATGCGATGTTGGCAGGAAGGTCTGCACTCGCTCTTGCTACCACTGTCACTATGACACAATCCAGGGCAGATCTCTTGCTACTTAAAAATAATTTTTCTCCAGAATGGACAAATGTTTATGAGAGAAGAAAGGAATTCAAAAGAGGGGTCTGGATGTGGGAGCCGGATCAAGTCCAAAGGCAGCAATGCAAAATTAAACAGAAATAATTCCCAATAAGAAGAGATGTGTAACTTCAGATACACAGAGCATGCTTCACCAAAATTACATATAATACTTTGCTTTGGGGAAATAAGATACTGGCCTGCGTGTTGCCTTCAGTGCTACAGGACTGTACACACACAAAAAATGGACTTCACTCCTAAATGTATGAATGTACTTCATGCAGGTTGCAGTTATATAGAGATCCTTCATATACATTATGCATAGCTTCATGCCTACACTATTTAGGTAGTGGCAATCCCCCATGCTGAAAATGTAGCTTTCTCATTCCCCTGAAATGCCTTAGGCGGTTTCACAGATTCCAATGCATTAGCAAAAATTCCAGCTGTGGGCTGCTCCAAGTATTTCATAGTAACAGCTGTCAGTGCTGTGTGAAAATAACTTAAATAAAATGCCTGTGGCAACTTTCTCAAAAATCCTACCCTCCCTCACCAAGTCGTTGTCATCTTTTTAAATAAGAATTACAACTGGCTGTTGGACAATTAAATATCAAATCAAAACAAGAAGGAAGGTAGGTCAAAAACAAAGATAATATTGCAACATGTAAGAAAGAATATTTTAAACTCCTTCTGGATTCAGTGTACATTTCCCTTCCTTACTTCTTTTTCTTCCTTTCCTGAACACAACGGGGACAGAACCTAGGGACAGAAAATAATAGTATTAAGGTTCAACAGATAAATATTTAGCTCTTCACTATTTTGGAGGAGAAGAAAATAAAATCTATTATATGGAAGTCAATTTCTTTTGTTGATGCTGTAATATTACAGAGCACAAATATGGGGGAAAGACATTTCATTGAGATGGGTCCAGGAAATTAGAACAACTAGCAAAGGAGTTGTGGTGTTTGGAGGATGAAAGTGGCAGAAGGGGGCCTCAGTCCCATTTTAAAACAAAGCTGGTTTTAGTTATCTGAACAGAAAAAAACTGAATGTTTTAAAGTGTGAAAGACACCTCCTTGCTGTAACTTGTATGTTCTTAAAAATAGATGAACCAGATAAATTACCCCTTCACTTTGAGATGAGACCACACATGGAAAAAAACAGCCTGAAGGAAAAAAATCTCATAAAAGTTAAAGCTCCCAAAGACAGGGGGAAAGTTCAAACATACTCGCCTAATTTTAACAACAGCACTGCAGTTGCTACTCAATGATATAGTAAATATGCCATGCAGGAATATGATGTACATATAGCTGTGCAAATACATGTCTTGTTTTTTTTGTTAACTGTTCTGATTAGGCTGATATCTTGTAAATGCTTGCAACCTGAAATATTCTGTTAAGGCCTTATTCTAATGGCTGGTCTATACTAACGATATAAGCTGATCTAAGTTACACTAGTTCAATTACGTAAATCACGTGACCAAAGTCCACGTAACTTACGTAGACTTACAGCGGCGTTTACACCACGCTATATCCATGGCAGACACTCTCCTGGCGACACAGCTTCCACCTCCGGGGGAGGTTTAGTACAGATGTCGACGGGCGAGTGCTCTCCCACCAACTCAGTGCGTCTTCACTAGACCTGCTAAATTGACACTGCTGCATCTATCGCAGAGGTGCTGATTTAGCCGGTAGCATAGACATGGCCTAAGCCTATTAAAATCTATGAGAGTTTTGCCACAGACTTCAATGGAAGCAGCCTTTAGAGATGAGAATAGACGTTTCCTAATGTATCGTGTACATCCACACAGATACAATTCTCTAACAACATATGTTACAAGCCTGCATCTAGTCCAGTGCAGGGAACTGGACTAGATGACCTCTCGAGGTTCGTTCCAGTTCTATGATTCTATGGTTTCTATATTAGTGAGAGCAAAATTCATGCACCAAGATTAGTCAAGATGTCAGAATTTAATTTTCTGCATAATTGGAGAGAGGCAGTCAAGAAGAGACTCAACAAACTGAACCTGTTCCTCCTACTTACCATTTTCCTTTTGGTTTTGTGGTGAGGTCCACACAAGCGAAGTGAAACCACTCAATTGGACACTGCAGTTCAGGAAAAAAGAAAGAAGAGAGACGCTTATAAAACTAGGAAAGCATGGCCTACTAATGCGGTTATCTCATCAGATGCATTTGTGCTGTGAAGTTATGCAGGGCACTGTAAGAACAGATATCCAGAGTGTACCCTCAAAAAATATAAGCCAGGGCTGAAAGGGACCTTAAGAAATTAAAATCCAATCCCCGCACCGTGGCAGGACCAAATAAACCTAAACCATCCATGACAGATGTTTGTCTAACTTGTTTTTAAAAGCTTCCAATAATGGGGACTCCATGACCTCCCTTGGAAGCCTATTCCAGAGCTTAACAACTTTTACAGTTAGAAAGTTTTTCCTAATATCTAACCTAAATCTCCCTTGCTGCAGATTAAGCCTATTACTTTTTTCCTACCTTCAGTGGAGATGGAGAACAATTGATCTCTGTCCTCTTTCTAACAGCCCTTCACATATTTGAAGACTGTTATCAGATCCCCCCTCAGTCTTCTTTACTCAAAACTAAACATGCCCAGTTTTTTTAACCTTTCCTCATAGTCCAGGTTTTCTAAACCTCTTATTTTTGTTGCTCTCCTCTGGACTCTCTCCAGTTTGTCCTCTTTTTTCTGCAGGCGTGGGGCCCACAGCTGGACACAGTACTGCATCTGCGATCTCACCAATGCCAAGTAGAGTATGACAATTACCTCCCATGTCTTACATACAACACTACTGTTAATACAGCCCAGAATATTAGCCTTTTTCACAACTGCATCATGCTGTTGACTCATATTCAATTCGCGATTCACTATAATCCCCTGATTTTTTTCAGCAGTACTACCACCTAACCAGTTATTCCCCATTTTGTAGCTGTGGATTTTATTTTTCCTTCTGAAGTGAAGTATTTTGCACTTGTCTTTGGTTTGAATTCAACAAGATGCAATTCAATAATTCTCCAATTTGTCAAAGTCATTTTGAATTTTAAACCTGTCTTCCAAAATGATTACAAACCCACCCCCCTCCAAACTTGTTGTCATCTGCAAATATTACAAGCATACCCTCCACTCCATTACCCAAGTCATTAATGAAAATATTGAAGAGAACCAGACCAGGATGGACACCTGCTGGACCCCATTAGATTCACCCTCCCATTTGACAGCAAACCACCGATAACTACTATTTGAATATGGTCTTTCAACCAGTTGTGCATCCACCTTATAGTAATTTCATCTAGACCACATATCCTTAGTTTGCTTATGAGAATGACGTGTGGAACTGTACAAAAGCCTTACTAAAATTAAGATATATCACATCTACTGCTTCTCCCATCCACTATGTTAGCAATCCTATCAAAGAAGGAAATTAAGTTGGTTTGGCATGATTTGTTCTTGACAAATCCATGCTGACTATTTCTTATAACCCTATTATACACCAGGTGATTACAAACTGATTGTTTAATAATTTGCTCCAGTATCTTTTCAGATACTGCAGTTAGGCTAACTGGTCTATAATTCTCTGGATCCTTGTTCCTCTTTTTAAAAATAGGTACTGTGTTGCCCTTCTCCAGTCTTCTGGGACCTTTCCCATCCTCCAGGAGTTCTCAAACATAATTGATAACAGCTTTGAGATTGCTTCAGCTAGTTCCTTTAGTATGCTAGGATGAATTTCATCAGGCTTTGGTGACCTGAATACATCCAACTTATCTAAATAGTCTTTAACCTGTTCTGTCCCTATTTTGCCCTGCATGCCTTCCCCTTGGTTGTCAATATTAATTGTGTTGAGTATCTGGTCATCATTAACCTTTTTAGTGAAGAATAAAGCAAAATAAGCACCTCAGCTTTCTAGATGTCATCAGCTATTAGTTCCCTTTCTTCCCTGCTAAGTAGAGGACCTACACTTTCCTTTTTCTTTCCCTTGCTCCTAATGTATTTAAAGAACCTCTTCTTATTGCATTTTAAGTCCTTTGCGAGGTATAACTCATCTTGGGCACTTACATCAGGATTGTCACAGCCAATCATTTCTCCATAGGACACCTGGTGGCACAAGCAATAAGTGGGCTCATTGGGATCCACTGGCATGTCTAGGACATCCGAGGGGTGAACAGACAGGATGGTATCAGCAAACTCAGAACTGTGGAGGAAATAATACTACTGAATGTTAAGTGAGAGCAAATTACTTTTGCTCATTAAAAACTGTATATTTCATAGATAACCAGTTTCAGTTGAAAATTTAGCTTTAAATACATCTTAAGCTTAAAATCAATTATGAAGGTTTAGAAAATATATTAAAAATATAAATAGATTTGGATAATTTTGAGCATTGGTCAAAACAAAATTATATGAGGTTTAATGTAAAGAACTGGAAGAATAATTTGCAGCATACAATACATACAAATAAAGGGAGTACTATTTAGATAGCAATAATAAGCATAGCAAAATTGAGTTGATGAACAACTAGAAACAACAGGAATGTGACAATAATCGATCCTTTTCAGTAGGAGCTTAAAAATCATATTCTATCAGAAAATTTTGAACTCTGGTTTCAAGTAACAGCCAAGATTGCTACAACTGAAAGAATGTAATATTCCTCTATTTTCCAGTTCATTTATTCATGCATTTGGCAGCACTTTGCATATAATCAGTTTCTTCCTTGCTGAAAAGACCATTATAGACATTAACAGGAGCAATACAAGCTTTATAATTTTTTTAAATCATATTTTTATGATACCATGCAATACTATTTAAGGATGCCTTATAAGAAACTGGAATTATTTTTCTCATCACTTTCAAAATATTCAAATTGACAATGTCCTGTTAATTACAGCATATGAAAAGTAGATTTGAGATTCTTTCCTGCTTGCTTCAAGGGACTGGATTAAGTGACTCAAGATTATTTAGGATACCTACCCTATGATGTAGAATACCAGGAAATGATTCCAAGAATGCCCCAGGATTTCTGGGAGAGTGATGCAACATCACAGTATATCTCAGAATGAGCAGGTCACCATTATCTGCAAGCCAACTCAGTGTAAACTAATACAAATGGCCACACACAAAAATGCTAAGCTACTTTTCTTTACGTTTGCAGAAAACAACAGAGACTGCATTCCTGCCACCTCAGATACAGATACTGTTCCAGCCATATTAACTCCTTGCTCAGTGTATGAGAACTTAATAATGCAAAGATATCTTGACACTGGTGCCAGGGGAAAGCATGAAGAGAGGACATATTTAAAATGGAGTCTGAGTAGAAGCATAGTCTAGAAATACAAACTGTTCAGCTGGAAGTGTCATCAAAAGGGCCAGGAAGGTTTGGCTTAGTATTTTATAAATTTACAAAGCTTTTCCATAAAGCCACAAAAGCTCTGACTGTTTGTCTCTTACCCTCCTTTTAGTTTTTTCTTCTTTGGAGTATCTTCTTCAGATGTTCGCCTGCCTCGACCTCGGGAGCCTCTCTTGTCCTTTTGACTTCGTCCCTCTGAAAGCAAAAATTATTTCAAATTAAGGGCACCCCAGAAAAAGCATTGGATGCTTTTATTTGTGCTCCTATTATTTTAAACTTCTGTTTTGCAGGCTCTTTATGTACAAGGCTCTTTGGATATTAAACATATGTATGATTTACACATACTATATCACAAACAGTACCAACTTCTGTTCTGGTTTGCCACTTGTTCAGCCCCATAACACAAGTCAGTAGAGTTGCACAGGAGTCACCTGGAACTTGGCCTGGTACTGTATATTCAACGAACCGTTTAGTAAAAGAGTGCTTTAAAAATACACTCAACATCTTCCCATCCAAGGACTGTGCATTATTAATCAGGGTGCAACATATACATGCCATCAGCAGCACCCACCAAACAGACCTCAAAACCATGTCCTCAGCAATTTAAAGGAAAGAACAGTTGTACAGCGGTCATTGTTTACAGTATTTAATTTGGCTTTTTGCCATTTAAAATTTCTAATCTATATTAAAGAAACAGGCATTTTCCTTTAACTCTTAAAATGTCCTATTGTCATCAGGTTACCTTTAAATTTTAAATTGGATTCTTAAGTTAGAAATAAAATCCTAACTTTATTTTAATTAATATTTTTTCTTAATGAGAAAATCATCCTCTCCCACCACAATGTCTTTTATTTCTCATGGCAAGGCACAGCTGAGGCAAAGTTTGCTCAACTCAGAGTAGATGCTTTAGTTTCAAAGTTTTAAGAGCTACAGACTGTATACGACTCTTGCCACCACACTCAGCTTCATTTGTAGCAGTGCTTATAACCAGTGACTTAGGGCAGGTCTTCCCTACGGGGAGGGGAGGGGGGGGTTGATTTAAGTCAGAGCCGACTTACCCTGCTGTGAGGACGGCGGCAAAATCGACCTCCGCGGCTCCCCGTCGACGGCGCTTACTCCCACCTCCGCTGGTGGAGTAAAAGCGTCGATTCGGGGATCGATTGTCGCGTCCCGACGAGACGCGATAATTCGATCCCCGAAAGATCGATTTCTACCCACCGATTCAGGCGGGTAGTGTAGACCTAGCCTTAGAGAAAGGACTATTTCAGGATGTGCTGACTCAGCGAGGCAAGGGACCGGCTTCCAGCAAGAACGGTTAAGAGGGCTCTAAACTAGATTCTGTCTTCCTCTGCCCACCAAATGGTGGTACCTTGTCAAAATTACCTAAACCTTTTAAAAGCATTAAATAAAATAAAATAAAAAAAAACCTCACACCAAAGCTTCTAAAAAAAGTAATGTATGCTCCATCACAGCCCTTATGCCCTACACTGGATATGCATATTTACAGCAAGGTTTTCCAGCACTGAGCGAGATGGTGTGGTCACATTAAAAATAACTCACGCACTTTTCAGGCCTCGACCTCCAGGGCTTTCAAAGTCACTGCCTTCCAACTTATCCTTCAGATCTGCTTCAAATCGTGCCAAGTCTGCATCCAGCCGTCGGATGTGTTTATCCACCTGCATGGGAGAGAAACTACACGGCTGAAAAAAACTTCAACCAACCCACCAAAAAAATCCCAGCTATTCTAGAAGGTAGGACTCTAACAGTTCAGGGCACACTGAGACAACTCACCCTTACTAAGCATGCCCTTCCTGATGAGGTACAACAAGGACAAGTGCAGAGACCTGCACTTAGGATGGAAGAAACCCATGCACTGCTACAGACTAGGGACCGAATGGCTAGGCAGCAGCTCTGCAGAAAAGGACCTAGGGGTTACAGTGGACGAGAAGCTGGATATGAGTCGACAGTGTTCCTTTGTTGCCAAGAAGGCTAATGGCATTTTGGGCTGTATAAGTAGGGGCATTGCCAGCAGATTGAGGGACGTGATTATTCCCCTCTATTTGACTTTCATGAGGCCTCATCTGGAGTACTGTGGCCAGTTTTGGGCCCCACACTACAAGAAGGATGTGGAAAAATTGGAAAGAGTCCAGTGGAGGGCAACAAAAATGATTAGGGGGCTGGAGCACATGACTTATGAAGAGAGGATGAGGGAACTGGGATTGTTTAGTCTGCAGAAGAGAAGAATAAGGGGGGATTTGATAGCTGCTTTCAACTACCTGAAAGGGGGTTCCAAAGAGGATGGATCTAGACTGTTCTCAGTGGTAGCAGAAGCCAGAACAAGGAGTAATGGTCTCAAGTTATAGTGGGGGAGGTTTAGGTTGGATATTAGGAAAAACTTTTTCACTAGGAGGGTGGTGAAGCACTGGAGTGGGTTACCTAGGGAGGTGGTGGAATCTCTTTCCTTAGAGGTTTTTAAGGTCAGGCTTGACAAAGCCCTGGCTGGGATGATTTAGTTGGGGATTGGTCCTGCTTTGAGCAGGGGGTTGGACTAGATGACCTCCTGAGGTCCCTTCCAACCCTGAGATTCCATGATTCCTGGGATCGATATGCGGTTACACTTTATAATAAAGGGTATGTTATAAGTTATTTATAATAGGTTAATAAAGTATTAATAGATTATATAAACGTGTTGCAGACATGAGTAGTATGTGTTATAGATGGTTCAAAGCACATTATAGATGGTTATCACAGATGGCTGTAAGCCCCAGTTAAAAGCAAACAATTAAACATTTAATAATCATGTACTAACTCTTTATGAACTATTTATAAATGAAGCATCAATACAGAGTGTGACAACAGTCTTTAAATAAAAATAATCACCTAATAAAATATTACTACTAGAGGAGGATTGAATGGCATGATGGATTGGAAACAAACTTGCCAAGATGATAGCGTTTGAAAGTTAGTACTGACACCTGTTCTGCGGTCTATGTGAAATTGGGCTGGTCTCACTCCAGTCCCTATGGGCAGGTGTCTTCATCACAAGAGAGTGGTAGCAATTTCTGAAAAGAGGTCAGAGTCAAATGGGCTGGTGAACAACTTGCTTGCCTTTAGGGATGATCATTCTAATGTCTGGGCTAAGGCATAATATTGGAGTGACAAGAGAAAACTCTGCCTGTACTGTGGATAAAGAGAGGACTCCAGTGCCATCAATCTGGAATCTTTCAACAGCACTTATTTAAAATCCCCAAGAATACTACATCACTAATACTGGGGGACTGCACAGCTCAGGGGATTTGTAATGGGACAGAGTCTTTCGATTCTGGTTTATTAATTCAAAACTGAATGAAGTCAGCAAGGATCAGAAGTTGTTACTATTAATCAGCCTGAAATGAGTTCTGGCTTGATTCCAAAACTAATGAACATATTTCAAGAACCACCATCTCAACTGACATTGTGTTTGGCAGTCTAAGCCAGTACTGGGGACAAAGATTAAGAATTAACTACTTTCCTATCTCACCCGCCAGGTCAAGGTTGAGGCAGATGGCTGGGATAGTGCAGGAAAGCTTACATTCATGCTCCCTGGGCATATCTGTCCCATGGACTCATCTAGATACTAAAGCAGAAGTAGGCAACCTATGGCACGCGTGCCAAAGGCGGCACGCGAGCTGATTTTCAGTGGCACTCACACTGCCTGGGTCCTGGCCACCGGTCTGGGGGACTCTGCATTTTAATTTAATTTTAAATGAAGCTTCTTAAACATTTTAAAAACCTTTATTTACTTTACATACAACAATAGTTTAGTTATATATTATAGACTTATAGAAAGAGACCTTCTAAAAACGTTAAAATGTATTACCGGCATGCGAAACCTTAAATTAGAGTGAATAAATGAAGATTCGGCACACCGCTTCTGAAAGGTTGCCGACCCCTGTACTAAAGTAATGACAGACACTTTCCCATAATCCTTCATATTCCCTGGACTTTACCAACAGCATCTTTGATGTCAACTCAACAAATGCAATGGGAAACAGCAAAGAATGGGAGCAATTTCAAGTTGCTGGTGCTATATTACACTGTAGATGGGCAGTACAAATCACAGCAACGACTAACAAACCATATAGCTGTGGGGTACTCACAATGGAAGTTTGTTTGACACACAACCTAACAGAACAAAAGGAAAACTGGAGTTTTCTTGGTAAGACAATGGTAAAACAGAAAAGAATGTGTCTTAAGGGAACTACTGCTCTGTCAGTAACAGAGTCAACCCAAATATAGATATTTCAGCAAAAAACCCAAAAGCTCCTTCTTAATTTATGATTACACTTGCAAGAATCATACTGACCACACAATCACTGCACATGTGCACTTAATTCTCACCATCTCATAGGTCTGCATGGCTAGCTGCACTTTGTCATCACTGTACTCTTTACATTTACAATAAGCGTTCTGAATCTTCTGGAGGTATTCCACACGCTGCTCTGGCAACAAGTGCTTCACTGTTGAAATGTACTCTGCTGCAAGATTGTCAATTTCTGCTTTCTTATCTGAAAAGAAAACAGACAGTACAATTACATGAGAATTAATTTAATAAATGAAATACTTTCTAGCTAGCGATTGTATTTACCTTATGATCCCAATTATCATAGTCCCTGAACCCCTTCAAAAACTAATGTATGTATCCTTTTTAGGAAATCACAAAAAGGATTCACCCTACCCAGATCTGATTCTGCACTCAGCAGCTTTCACCGGTGCAATTCCACTGACCTCAGTGGAGTTACTCTTGATTTACACTGTGTGAGATCAGAACTGAACTCACTGACTCCAGTTCATGGGTTTCAACATTTCTTCAGCTTCATTCGGAGTATGAGAATTTTCTAACTTCTGTGCTGCCATCTTCCTTTCCTTCCAGTGCCATTTCAACAGAAAGGAAACCCATTTGGCAATAACAGCCATACACTGTTTGAAAGCTCAGATCCAAAAATTAAACACGAATGTCTCACAAGATGCAATATTCTACTACTTTGCCATCAGGTTACACATACTTTCCCTCCTCTGTTATGATGACATTCATGTAGTGTTCATGTCAGTTTTATAGGGTATATTTATATATGGACAGACACTAGAAGAAGCTACCGTATATACTTGTTCATAAGCTGAATTTTTTTAGTAAAAAAGGGAAGCACCAAAGAAGGAGATCGGCTTATGAACCGGTATAGAGAGGGAGAGGTGGGACAGAGCCACTCGCCCCAACAGAAGCAGCACAGCCAGAAGGGAAGAGGCAGGGCCAGCGTCTCTCCGCTTCTGGCCATGCTGCTCTCCCTCCGGCCTCCGAAGCAGCTGCAGCTCTGGGACTGGCAGGTTGCATCTGTGCCGCTCACCGCCCCCCCTCCGGCCCTCCAGAGCAGGCTGCGGCCGCGCCGCCTGGCCCACCAGAGCACGCTGCGGCCGTGTCACCTGGCCCAGCCCGCTGGAACATGCTGCAGCCACGCTGCCCGGTCTTGCCCGCCGGAGCAGGCTGAGGCCGCACTGCCCACCCTGCCAGAGCAGCTCCAGCCAGGCCAGAGACATCCTCCCCTGGCCCTCCCCAGATAAGGTGGGAAGGGATGGAACGGGGAGAGTGTGGGGGTCCCGGGCTGGGGTCATGTGGGGGGTAGACACAGGGGTTACTTCCCTGACCCCCAGCTTCTCCCCCCAAAAAAATTTCCCCACCAGTTGCTGTCCCGGCCCGACAGGGTAAACAGCTGGTGCGCTGGGACACTGTTTACTTAGGTTTACCTCCATGCCTGCAGACACGAGGTAAACAAACCATCTCGGCCCACCAGCGGCTTATCTTGATGGCCCGGGAGCCAAAGTTTGCTGACCCCTGAATTATAGGGTCGGCTTATGAACGGGTCATAAAAATTTTCCATTTTTACTTATCCATCTTGGGAGGGTCAACTTACAAACGAGTATATGATCGGCTTATGATCGAGTATATACTTATATGTGACCTCCAAAAGTATAAATGCTGCCACCTGAATCTATCACAAAATAAAATGTTGTAGAATAAAGATTAAGAAAGACTCTCCACCTATATGTAGGCAGGCATTGCTACTGGAACAATTTGATAATAAACACGGATATAACTGGTTAAAAAAAATCAAAGTCCATTGGTTTGATTTATTAACTAGAGCTTGGAAAGAAGGAGAGTATAAGTTCTCACATTTACTATGTGAGTACATTAGCATTTGTACCTTTACAGCATAGGTAAATCTTGTCTCCAAAGCCAAAGCTTTGCTCTTCTATACCTCATAGTCATGCCAAGCCCCAGTGGGATTGTTATGATCCTTCAGATGAAGGATCTCTATTCTGACTGCTTACTGGAATACCTTAGCATACCTTCTGTTCTCTGATCCAGTTCACGCATCAGCTGGAAGTTCCTTCGCAAATCACAGGGCAGGTTTTCAATACCTGAAACAAAAAGGCACAGAGATTGCAGTCCATCCTCCCCTCCACTAAAGTATGAATTGTCATCTCTGATACAGAACATTGATCTGATGCCCATCATGTATAACAAAAAGGAGCTACACCCACCACCTAATGATATAGTTATGAAGATAACTAGCCACAATTATGACAATAACCATATATGTTCACTGAGACACAGAAGTTTCTATGGAGCTTGCTGTGCTCTCAAGAATCTAAGATTTTGGTTAAAATAAACATAAATAAAATGAAGATTCTAACCCTTCCTATTGCAAAGAAAGCCTTGACAATGTGAAGGCCCTGATCCTGCAATGATTAACACATGCATAACTTTACACACTATGAATAGTCCCACTGAAATCAACAGAGCTACTTATAGTGCACAAAATTAAGCATGTGAGTAAATCTCTGCAGGATTGGGGAGAGTAATAATCAGTAACATGTCTATTTCATTTCAGTCTTTTTGGCATAAGATTATGTAGACACAAGGAAAGTGGGCACTCCCCCATGCATCAAGGATAGTAATGCCATGATTCAGGGTGCCTCAATTTTTGGCTACCCAACTTGTGAAAATTTAGGCCCAATTTTAAGAGACACTGAGCATCCAAAGCTCCCATTGACTTAACTGGAGAAAATGGGGAGCGTTCAGCACTTCTGAAAGTCAAGTCCAAGGTGGGTACCTAAAGATAGAGGTAACCAAATCATAGGCCACTTTTGAAAATGTTCAAATGGATTACATTTATACTACTATAAAATCCTAAAATTCACCTGGATAAGTGGAACTGCAATCTGAAATTGCCAACTGGATTGGGAAACATAACTCTTGCTCAATCTTGACACCCCAAGACTTTGATGCAGCCAAGAATTTGACTATACTTTTGTCTGTCCAGGGAAGGGTGGCGAGAAGATGAGCTCCACTTGTGACATTACACTCCATATTCTTCATTGAAATATTGTTATGATATGATTATGGCATAACTAAGTTATGTTTATGCAACATGGGTCCAGTGAGGTATCATTGGAAGGTTATGATTTACTGAATATGTTTATCCAAATAGTATGCATGTATCATTTCTGCATCTAAAGTTAGGAATATTGTCTATGTAACAATTACAACCGTGTGGGTATGTGCTTGGGAAACATCCACCAGACAGTAAGCAATCAGTCTTAATGGGCCATTAGGGAAAGACAATGAGCCTTCCAAGATGTGGATCTCCCATCTTCAGGGCAGTTCCTTCCTGTGGACATTGCAAATAAACCTAGTTTCATGGTTGCTTTGACACTACAAGGTCAGGTGATAATGTCACCTGGTACAAAGTACCACCTTGGACATTGCTGGTATTTTTCCACTGGAGACAAAGGCTTCCCGCCTTATGTAAATTCTATTTAAGGCTGGGGAGTAAGGCAAACAGGACTCTTCTCCAATGCCTTCCTGCCCAAGAAGAAAGACTGCTGAAAGTACCTGAAGAGACAAAGGAACTGAGCTGAGGGAAAGGCAAGGGCTGAGTCCAGACTAAGGCTGGTTTACAGAGAAGTGAAGGCATCTATATAATTTTTTTTTTAATGGAACAAACTGAAGTAAGGTGAATCTGATAATAATTAATGTAAATGTAAATCAGAAGCTAAGAATTATAGAAGGTTTATAAAGGAAACAAAAAGGGACAGAAGGAGAAATCTACAGTCAGCAGAGTTGAAGAAAAGGAGGAGTTTTTCAAGTGTATTGGGTACAAAAGAAATCCTAACAATGGTACTGATCCATTACTAGATGGAAATGTTAAAATTATCAATAATAATGCAGAAAAGGCAGAAGTGTTCAATAAACTGGCATCTCAGTAGGATGATAAACAGCAGCTACTAAAGTTAGACATTTTAAAATCAGCATCTCTGGATAACTTGTACCCAGGAATTTTAAAGAGCTGGCTGAGGAGCTCGCTGGATCATTATTTTTAATTTACAATACATCTTGGAACACTGGGGAAGTTGCAGAATGCTGAAAGAAAACTAATTTGGGGCAAAATATTTTAAAAGGACACCCAGGATAATATAGGCCTCTCAGTCTGACACTGGACCTTGGCAAAATAATGGAGTGGCTGATATAGCACTTGATTAATAAATAATTAAAAGAGGATGATATAATTAATGCTAGTCAACATGGGTTAATGAAAAACAGATCCTGTCAAACTAATTTGATATTTTTTTTAATGAGATTACAAGTTTGGTTGCTAAAGGAAACAGTGCTGATGTAACATACTTCTGGAAGGCATCTAATTTGGTATCGCACAACATTTTGATTGAAAAACTAGAATGATATAAATTAACATGGCACACATTAAAAGGATTAAATAATGCCTAACTGCTACATCTCAAAATGTCATTATAAATGGGGAATCATCAAGCGGGTGTGTTTCTAATATGGTCCCCCAGGGATCTGTTCATCATATTTAACATTTTTATCAATGACCTGGAAGAAAACATAAAATTATCACTAATAAAAGTTGCAGATAACTCTGACACATGGCCAGGAAGGAGCAGCTTGCAGGCTAATTGACCCAGATTCAACCTTTAGAGACATATTGGTAGATAATGTGTGTGTTTACATACATATTGTTAGAGGTTGACAATGTAATCTAACACTTCCTGACTATGCTGTATGTATTCTGTTAATTCTGAGATCAAAAGATCTTAACATTTAAATGAACTGTAAATATAGTGATATCACTGTATTGATTTCTCTTTGAATTATATAGCGTATCACCTGCAAATGGTGGAAGATAGGCAATTGCCTTATATTAATCCGTGTAGCTCATTACTAGTGATGCTTAGGAAACAGATCTACTTCAAAGTTGCAATGGTTGCCTGTTGTTCACCTGAGGATACCGTGATGTCAAGAGGAGGCCTGTATAAAGGACTCTTGGGTCCTGATCCTTTTTATCTCAAATCTGCTTATGCTTTATCAGGGAAGCATTGAGCTACAAGATGAGGTTTCCAATTTAATTTGGATCACTCTGGTATGGAACATTGGACTGAACCTATGGACTTATTCTAACAATTCTTTGCAACTCCAAAGCTCACTATGAAACTGATAGAACTGTAATCGTGTCTGTATGTATAATGATCTTTTAACTCTTTTCTTTTATTAATAAATTTTAATTTAGTTAGTAAGAATTGGCTGTAAGTGTGTATTTGTGTAAGATCTGAAATATTAACCTGGGAGGTAATGTGTCCAATCATTTGTGATTGATAGAACCTTCATATTTGACTTGGCTGTCTGGGAGGGAGCCCAACTGCTGGGTTGCTTTTCAGGGAACTGTGTTCTGGCTTCTGTGTAACCAGTAAGCTACTGTGGAAACTGTTTGTTGCTATCTTGGTGAATCTAAGTATTAAAATAACCACCAGCTTTGGGGATTGTCTGCCCCATTCTTTGCAGTTTGCCCTACTTGAGTAACCTCAGTGTGACCCCCCCCCTTGGACCCTAGTCACAGAACCATAATAATGGGGGCGTGGTAAACCATAAAGAGACAGGTAACTGATATAGAGCAATCTGGATCATTTGGTATGCCAGGTGCCAGCACACAATATGAATTTGGGTGATTGTGGACTATCATGGGAAGCAGGGATTCTGAATAAGAGTTGGGGTCAGAGGTGGATAATCAGTTAAACATGAGCTCCCAGTGCAATGTTGCGGCCAAAAGAGCTAATGTGATCATTGGATGCAAAAACAGGGGAATCTTGAGTAGGAGCAGAGAGGTTATTTTACCTCTGTAGCTGACACTGGTGCAACCGCTGTTGGAGGTATCCAGTTCAGATGCCCACAGTTCAAGAAAGAAGATAAATTGGAGAGGATTCAGAAAAGAGTCACAAGAATGATTAAAGGATTAGACAATGTGCCTTCTAGGGAGTGAGCTCCTTGAGTTTATCAGTTTACATTAACGAAGAGAAGGTTAAGTGGTGTCTTGATTACAGTTTATAAGAACCTATTCGGGGAACAAATATTTAACAATTGGCTCCTCAAGCAAGCAGACAAAGGTATAACAGGATCCAGCATCTAGAAGTTGAATCTAGACAAATTCAGCCTGATAATAAGGCATACGTTTTTAACAGTGAGAATAATTAACTTCTGGAATAACTTACCAAGGGTTATGGTAGATTCTCCATCACTGACAATTTGTAAATCAGGATTGGATTTTTCTCTAAAAGATCTGCTCTAGGAATTATTTTGGGGAAGTTCTATGGCCTGTGTCATACAGTGGGTCAGAATACATGATCACAGGGGTTCCTTCTGGCCCTGCAATCTATGAGAAACAGCTACACCAGGAGAGGAACACTTTTATAAAGAGGGATGGAGAGAGAGTCTGTAAAGAACTGGGGATGTAGAGACAACCCCTTATTGGATTGAAATCCACTTACTCAACAGATGGGTCTACCACATTTTTATTAGGCAAAACACTCAGCAAGTTGTGATCAATTACAAGTGGGAAGCTCATCGGGAGGATTTCATCACAGTCCTCTCCAGCACTGGATAATATGGCTTCCACCACTCTTTGTTACACAAACTTATTTATAACTTTCTGTTATCTTAGAATCATATGGTTAGAAGGGACCACAAGGGTCATCTAGTCTAATCCCTACTCCTGGGGGAATTCTGCTCATCTGCGGACACGCAGAATTAATCTGTCTCACATAATTTTGTATTTTCCCGCATATAAAACATTTGCCTAAGTGCTGCAGTCCTGCCTTTTGCCCACCAGAGACCGCTGTGGCACCAGAACAGCCAGCTGCATTCATGCCCGCTGTTCTAGCGCCACAGCGGCCTCTGGTGAGCAAAACGCAGAACTGCAATACTTCTTAGACAAAATGTATTTAATGCGGGAAAATACAAAATTCTATGCCCAGTGTGGTAGAATTCCCCCAGGAGTAGAGTTCATCACAGCACCCTGCCCACGGAGCCACATTAGGACAGAGTGGGGCACACAGGGCTGATGGGG